ACAATCAAGTAGCAAATATAATACACCAAGAGCTTGCAAACAAACACAAATTATTAGATATCCACGAACCATACTACAAATACATTCCACAGACACTATTGGAAAACAACACGCACAAAATGTACTATGACAGAGCCATAATCACAGATAAAACAATTTACCACAATAGACCAGACATCACACTCATTGACAAACACAATAAAATTACATACATTATAGACATAGCCATTCCAAACACTCAAAATGTACAAAACACATACACTGAAAAAATTAGCAAGTACACAGAACTCACCCAGGAAATAAGGCATCTGTGGAGGATGGAAAGGATGCTTATTGTACTTGTCGCTCTCTCTTGTACAGGTGTGATACCACACACACTACACAAGAGCCTGGGAACATTACAATTGAATAGAAATACATACATCATACTACAGAATGCCACTATATTGAATACATGCCACATTGTTAGGAAATTCCTGAATACAGACACTGACACACTTATTTAATTTTTGTTTTTGGTTGTTATGCCTTGACTCTGGTCTGGCATAGTACACAGCCACCGGTGTGAACCGAGTAACCTACTAAACTAATAATACAACCATCTATTAAAGTATCATAATATCAAGTTTACAAGTTATCTTAATTAAATAAGTTTACTTATATTTGAGTCAAATATAAGTAAACTTATTTAATTAAGTCATATTTATCAAGTTGTTCTATGGAATAGTAATATATAATATGTATACCAAAATTTACATCAAAATTTTTAAAAATTACTTTGGCTCACATCTAAAGAATTTTTAGGCTCTACCAGTCAGTCTTGAGTTAATTGTAATAAAATTTTATAAGTTCAAATAGTATTAACATTCTACAGATTGCTTTCATAATTATGCTTTAATTGTAATTTTGAATACTAAATTCTCCTTTAGGTTAGTTTAAAATTGAAAATGGTGTTTAAAATAATACTCTGCGTAAAAAATATGGTAAATTTGATTTATTTGACGATTGATTTAATTCAAATTGGAATTTTGTATCTAAATTGAACAATATTAACACTCTATATAAATTATTTGTCATAAACTTTGTGTTAAGTTGTTTTCATAAAAAAAATTTTTGTATAATTGACTTCAACAGTATTTTATATTTCACAGCTCCTCTTGGGAAAAGAGGTTGGAAAATGTTTTATGCTACATTGCGAGATTTAGTTTTGTATTTACATAAGGTAATAATAATAATACTTTTTTTTTTATCATAGTTATTTCTTGATGTTGAGAATTAATTTTAGTAATGATTTAGGATGAAAATGGATTTAGGAAAAATCAACTGTATGACAGTTTGTACAATTCTATACGAATTCATCATGCTTTGGCCACTAAAGCATCTGATTATACGAAGAAGCAACATGTATTTCGTTTGCAGACTGCTGATCAAGCAGAATATTTATTTCAGACGAGGTTGGTATATTTTCTCACTATAAGATGAACATCATGTAAATTCTATTAAAATAGAATTATACACAATTCTGTTAATAATAAATAATAATCATATATATATATCAAATAAGTCACTTAGAAATCTAAATTGTCAATATGTTTTAAAGCTATCTTTTAAGTTAATTAAACAATGAAATTTGATCTAAGAGGAGAAGTTAAGTCACCATTTTACATTAGGATTGATTAACTGTAATTAATATTGAAATTTAATTTAATGTTAAATTAAATTTCAAAATTAATTCTAATTGTTAATTTGGCAATTGTCTGGCAATTTAGAGTTTTGATTGTAGAATTTGAATTTAGCTTATATTGTATATTTACAAATCAGATACTTTACTCTTAATGTATCTGATTTTTAAAATTTTTCTGAAGTAATTTATAGAATTAAATTACTTCAGAAAAGTTTTTTAAATTTAGTTTTAGTATATAACTGAATTTTGTACAATTTTTTGTATATTAACTTTTTCATGAATTTAATTTAAAAAGTTTGTAAAAATATTGTTTAAAGTGAACTAAATTATCTGATAGATTATATAATAGTCGTCTTCAAATTAACAACATCAGTGACATAACCATTTAAGGACTGATTGAATTTATGATGAGCACAAAAAAGGGCCCACTGAGTGCCCAATGGATAGGAAGAGTTTTAAAAAATAAATATTCTTTTGATTCTTAAACACTGTTTTGTGTAATAAATTCAAACACTTGCCATTTTATCATCTTTATTTAGTTCAGGATCTACTGAACTAAATAAAGATAATAAAATGGCAAGTGTTTTAATTTATTACACTACATAGTGTTTAAGTTAAGAATCAAAGAAGAGTCACAACATGGTTTCAGATTATCACAAAAATAAATATATTGTAAATTAAATATATTTGTAGAACTTGATTACGTATTCAAACAGTGTTTTATGAAACTTTGTTATATAAAATAAGCAAAAGTTAAACATTTTTAAATTGTTTTATATATTTATAATTTCTATATATTCAGATACTGAACAATTTACTTCAAATCCAAATAAATTATTTTTGGCTTTTTAAGAATATACTGTAGTAATTTGAATATTAACAATCTTAAAAAATCTAACTTTAAATTCATTTTTTCCAAAAATCAAAATATTATTTATATTGTTCATAGCTTGTATAAATTGTTTAAAATTCAAACTAATATTTTCAATTTCCTTGCCTAACTGCCTATTTTTAAGCAAAATTAAGTCAGAGAATGTCTGCTTGTTTTTCCTATTGTTTCTGTTTTGCAACTTTCACATATTTAAAATACAAAAAGAATGTTTTAAAAATAGTCATTATTATTTGATTTTGTGTTGTAAAGATTTAAGAGTTTAATAAAATTTTGTTTTCAACATTTTCACTTCTATGTATTTTGAGCTAGAACTATTTTAAGATGACCAAGACAAAACCTTTCTCACTAGTTTCTAGCCATTTATACACGAGGACGAATGTTTTCGGCCTTCTTAATAAGCCTTCTTCAGGTACATTGTGGTCTGTTAGAGCATCGGTTGGTAAAAATTTAAACAATGTCAATGTTTACCAGTGACGTCATCGTTGATGATAAGGTTTAGACGATACTTAGGGCGTAAAATTTTTTCTTTTGGTAAAAATGAAAGGTGTGCGGATAGTTCATGATGGGATAATCGCTAAAGTTGGGGAATAAAATTGAAAATAAACGCACTAAGTAAAGAAGATGCACTATCACGATAGGGGGTTAATAAACGGCTAGAAACTAGTGAGAAAGGTTTTGTCTTGGTCATTTTAACATTTTACTTTATGTAATGTGTTGTTGAAAGAACAAAGTCCTAAATACATGGAATAAACATTTTTAAAAATTTATACTTTTAAATATAGGAAAGCGAAGCTTTTTAAAAAATTTCTTGATTATAAATATATTGTATTTTTATTTCCAGTGATTCTAAGGAATTGCAGAGTTGGATAGATACAATAAATTTTGTTGCTGCTAGTCTGTCCGCTCCTCCTCTAGCCTGTGGTGTGGGATCTCAAAAAAAATTCCAGAGGCCACTGTTACCAGTCAGCCACACAAAACTAAATTTTGTAAGTTTGACATATATTTTTTTAAATACTGGAATAAATAGTTACTATATATGATAGATTAAAAACAATAATTTTTGGAAAGTTAATACACACAGTTTTTAAAATTGTTACTATTTGTAGCAGAAAATAATCTATGTTAGTGCATTATTAAGGGATCAAGCTAATTTCAATATTATATACATTGTAATTTTTAATAATAATCAACATCATTATGATGATGATGATAAAATAATAGATTGACCAAAATGGATTTTTTTTAATGTATTCATAACACATTACTGAGGATTGGTTAAATATTTTTCTCAATTGCATTCTTAGCCATTTATCCTTGAAAACAGGTACTAAAAGTCAAATATTATGAATGTGTAATGGTATAACTTGCAGTAAACATATAATTAATTTATTTGCCATATATACATTTATAATTTTGCAGGTGATACACTAGTGCTTTCACTTTAGACATGATATCATTCTTTGATTTAGATACTGATTTGAATTTTCTTTGTATTTTCTTTTGCATGTTTTAGAAAATAAAATGTTATTTTCTTTTTCAATTTACAATTACATTTTGCATACATTTAACACACTTAATTGTAACTACCTGAAATTAAGTTTTAAAATTTCTTTGTGATAAAAGATTTGTTTAAAAAGGGAATAATGAGATTTATAAAATTAAAATTTTGTTTATCTTACTATAATTTAAGGCAATTCAATATATATTTACACTAGAAAAACAAAAAAAAATTTTTTTGCTAAATCTACAATTGTCTTCTGCAGCATTTTTTGTATTTCTACATGAGAAAATATTATATGGTTCTTTTAAAACTTTTAGAAAAACTATTTAATAAATGATATTGCACTTTGAGTTATTCTAAATACAAAAGCATACTTACTATATAGATTAATCATCAACTTTTCTAGAGAATATTAGACAAATGATAGAAAAGATCTCTTAATTATATAAGAGATAAGTAAAATGGTTACTCCTATTAAATAATATCTGTACTCAAAATATTTTGAATATAATTAGCATTATATATCATATTTCAGATACAAATTTAGTTAACAATGTTTATCTTCTATAATAATAATAATAATAATATAGAGCATTGGACACTTTTTCAAACATGGGCAGTCTGTGCAAGTTAATCAACTTGCACAGATTGCCCATGTTTTTCAACATTTTGATTGAAAAATTTGCAGTTTGGTTTATAACTGGCAAAATTAATATATGAAATTTTATTTTTTTAATTAAGTTAATTTTGTTAATAAAATGTTAAGTTTATTTTCCTTCATATCTCCATTGAATCAGAATCCACAATAACAGAAACACATACTCATATACTGTATTAATATGTATTTGTTACTGCTTATGTGAATTTCCAGGGTTCCGGTTGACCCCATCGCACATTTGTGATGACCATTTATATTCTGAAGGATCAGTTGGATCTTTCAGAATAAGAATTTCTGACACCACTTGGTTAATTATACGGACTAAGATACGAATGAATTTCGAACAACTTCCAGATTTTACAGGAGGATATGCATGTGAAATACAATACAGTTAGACCATAAAACTAGAATTTTAATGAATACTTAATATTTTTTAATTTAAAAATTTTAAGCATTTGCTATTTGCTATCAAACAATTGAAAAATATTTGTTTTAACGACATTTAAAAATACAAATTAGAATATAAAAATGCAAGTTCTAACACTCAGATTTATTTCTGTCATCAGCGTCCTTTAAGCATTCTTGATGGAAGACGGAATCCACAAATACTAAAGATGAAATTTTTGTTTTATTTTTATATTTAATCTCCATTTAAATGCAAACAATTTTTGAAATTTAAGTCTTAATACAATCAAATAAGTATTTTTTAAACCAATCTATTAGAGTTGGAGAGGCAAAACAATTTATCAAAGTATGATAATTAATTATGTAAATTTGTTTTGTGGGATCAACTGATTTGATTATAAATTAGTGTGAAAAATGGAACAAGCACAATTGATTTTAATTGTTTGAATGTAATTACATGATAATTCTCAGCAAATATAACAACTAGAATTTCATATTTTGCTTTTAATCAGTTTACGTTAAAAATATTCTTATCATCTTGCATGTTTGAACATATATTTAAAACTTATTTGAATAAAATCAAAAAGTGGAATAATAAATATTTCTTGCATTTAGAATGCTAAAAAGTGAAATAATAAATTATTATGTTGAGGCTTTTTGTTAATTTGAAGCCAAATTATAAATATTAATTTGGCTTATGAGTTAATAAAAGGATTCAGCATAATAGGTTATAATCCAAATTCCCAAAACTATAATTTAAAATAATGAAATTAAATTCAGTTTGATCACATCACAAAAAGAAGTAATAATTTTGTGAGAAAAATCAAAGTAGAAGTTAAAAAATGCTTAATTTTTTCAGTATATTATTTTCTTTTATTACAGTTTATGTAATATTAAAATAATCACTTAACAATACTTGTAATGGTTACCAATTTCAACCAATAATGGTTAATTGTTTAAATGAGATCAATTAGAAGTTTACTTGCAGAAACTGATAACTCTACACCAGTGTTTTTCATCCTGTGGGTCATGACCCCCAGGGGGGTCACAAAGCCTTACACAGGGAGTTGTGGGTGAAAGAAAAAGACAAGTGTTTGTAGGTCCTACACTACAATAAAAAAAACTAGAATTTCAGTGAGAAGGCTGTGCCTGTTTATTTTACAGCACAATTGGTTTTTCAATCGATATTTAAGGAAAGAAAATTAAATATGTAGTTTTTAAGATCACTGATATAGTTTTAATATGGCCCTGGGGGGTCACCAGAATTTTTTAACTTGTAAAGGGGTCGCGTATTCAAGAAGGTTGAAAAACACTGCTCTACACAGTTATTGTATTTCTTCAATTTTAAGGTTCTCTCAATCTTCAACAAACATAAGTGTACAAAAATTTTTTTAAAAATTCTCTAGTAGACAATACATACAAGATGTGTCTTTACATTCAGTCCTTTCAAATGCACTTGAGGAAATAACAATTCTACGGCAGAGTTGACTTTTTATTTGAGGCTACTTGTACACCTCCAATGTAAAACAAGTTAAAAATATCCCTCTGGCAGTGGCACAATCAGAAAAATTAAATAAATACATTTTATAAAAATTAGCCAGGATGAATAACATAGAATTGTTATTTCCTCAAGTGTGTTTGAAAGGACCGAATGAAAAGACACATCCTGTATTTATTGTCTACTCAAAAATTTTTGTAAACTTAAATTCAACCTGGCTAATTTTTATAAAACATAAGTGTGTTACAAATCCGCATTACAATACCAATTTCATCATGGGGGGAAAAAAGATATTTTTCATTCAAACTACCATCTTGCACTTACCAGAGTGAAAAAAATCCAGGCTAGCATTTTGTTGTTCATGTATGATGGGGTATAGCTTCAATTTTTGAAAAACAGCAAGCAACATTTATTTAACAGATGAGTATAATAGTACAGTAGAGTCTCAAAAACTCGACACTCGATAACCTGGCAGTCCGGATAACTCGGCCACACACTGGCAGGGCGAAAAAAACCCCTAGTTCATTTTCATTATAGACAGATTTATGTTTCATAAAGTATTTTTCTGAGGTCTGTCTTATCAGGTAAATTACTGTACACTGTGTATTCATTCATTTTCATTTTCATGTAGTAATGGCTCTATGCCCTCATAAAGTACGTACTTTTCCTTTGTTTAAGGCAGGGGTGGCCAACCTTTTGCATACCATGCGCCAATTTTTTGATAGACAAGTTCAGATGCGCAGTGGCGTACCGTGGGTGTTAGCCGCCCGGGGCGGAGAAAAATTTCGCCCACCCTTTAATCAGGTATTTCAATTTAAAAGATCAAAATTCAGTTGTGTGAAAAAAAAATTAATAAAAAATGCGGTGGCGGTGTAGTTACCCGTACAAAATAGTCCCATTTGACATTAGTGGCATACACGATTGCGAATGTATCGTGAATCGTAGAAGCAAAAAAAAAAAAAAAAAAAAAAAAAAAAAAAAA